CAGAGCGGTCTATCAGGCGGCAGGGTCAAGCACTGGGATGATAGTTACTAATGGAGGGCCTGGTGACCCTGGGGAATGCGAGAAGCAAACACTATCACTGCCACTGATCTCTCCTTATGAGGAGCAATCGGTGGCAGTGGCAGATTTATTTTGGGGTATGTGGAGAACAAAGAATTAGAGCCACTTTGCCTAGAGGATGGATGGGAATCTGTGCTAGAGTACAAATGCTTCAGGAAGTAGTTATATCAGAATGGGAGTTAGTAAAAACAACAAATCAGGATGCACAGAATAATAATAAAAGGGTAAAAAGAGCGTATGAACATGACCCCAATGTATATTTGGAATTCAATAGGTCAGCCTAGAGGAATTCCAAATGAATATAAGGCAAGAGATTAATTGAAAGCAGAATTTGAATCAATATTTGTCTGGATATCACCTAACAAAAACCTAGAATGGTTCAATTATATTCACTATAATCAGAAAAAGGTGGAGTTTGTGTTATGTTTGGGGTTGAATGTTGTACCTTCATTCCCAATAATACTGCTCCGGATGGTTCATTCACTGAAGCAATGAATAAGCTCAAAAGACTACGAAAAGATGCTAAGGACAATGCTGGGCATGACACTCACACTTGGGATTGGATGGACTTAACTTTGGGAATGTGGGGAGCAATGTTTACAAAAATGGCAATCACGATAGACATAGCACTTGTAGTAATGGGAATGGTCTTTTGTTGTGTACTGCCTTTGTTGAAATCACTTTTGATCCAAACCACAGTAAAGCAAATGACTGTACAGACAATTGTTAATAAGTCAACCAAAGAAATACACCCTGTTCAGGGAGCCCCAGGACACTATGTTAATGAATATGGAAAGCCCTGTAATATTAAAGGAGTGTAATATTAAACCAATGGACTGCCCATTTTGGAATCCTGAATGTCTGTATGGTGTTGTCCCTGGGGGTGGATTGGCCTGTCATGGTTACAAAGCTCAACAGCAACAATTGGAGGTTAGCTTAGAAGGAAACCTTCCGGATTTGTACCCAGTACCTGACTGGGCTCCTTGTCCTCATTGTGATGGGTCAGACAATGAGGAAGATACATTGGTCTGAATATATATTCTTATAAAATGAAATCACAAATGGCAAGGCTAAGAATAAGTATATGCACATGCTTACACTCATTTTATGTTACATTTTGTTTTATTGGTTGGGACTTAGAAAGTCCCAAAGGGGTGAATATATGGATGGTTTTATAGTACATATGTTGTAGAATGAAACGCCTATATGCCTTAAATGTTTATGGATTAAGAACCAATTAAAGGGTTAAAACAGAGCAGGGACATTTCTTTAGTGCAAATGGTCTGGGTATGTCAATGACATGTGATGGAGATACAACTTCTCGTTGTGGCTGTGTGGAGATTGGAGTAACAATGGAACTAGTGTTATCACTTGTTTGTGCTTATGACCTGACATACATAGCCACATGCACATAGTCACAAGGAAAAACCATAGTGGCTTAGGGTCCTTGGAGGATGGCTGTTTGGAAAGGCTTAAATGTATGTTATGGACATGACATGTGTAAACCATGTTTAAGTATTAATAGATATGTTTTATAATGTGTTATGAAATGAAAAGGGTAAAACAGAATGAACATGATTGATACTTTGTACTCCAGATGCATGCCTGGATAGTGAATATAGTCAATACAGAGTGTGATTGTTCTTTTCTTTTTTGAGAGCGTGTCTGAGTCACGCCACCAATATAATGAGATAAGTGACAGAGGCCCCATTTAGAGAAACGCAGGTAGCCTTCGTGAGTAAACAAACATGTGACACCGAAGGATGTTAATCATGTTCATATAATGGAGTAACTGTGTAGGTTGTATAAGCATGACTATGCATTTGTGTCTGTATAATAGGAGAGCTCCGGGTCAGGGCAAGCAGTTGCTCCATGGACCAGCTCGGCTTTGTTTCGCTTTAAATAAAGTATATTCTGAATTCACAAGCTCCAGTTTTTTAGAGATACTTTTGAGTTAAATATTTATTCCACAGGTACTGGGTAGAGGCTGGCTAGTGTTGGCTATTTAACAGTCTGATGGCCTTGAGATATAAACTGTTTTCAGTCTCTCGGTCCCAGCTTTGATGCACCTGTACTAACCTTGCCTTCTGGATGACAGCGGGGTGAACAGGACGTGGCTCGGGTGGTTGATGTCCTTGATGATCCTTTTGGCCTTCCTGTGACATCGGGTGCTGTAGGTGTCCTGGAGGGCAGGTAGTGTGCCCCCGGTGATGCGTTGAGCAGACCGCACAACCCTCTGGAGAGCCCTTCGGATGCGGGCGGTGCAGGTGATACAGCCCGACAGGATGCTCTCAGTGGTGCATCTGTAAAAGTTTGTAAGCGTCTTAGGGGCCAAGCCAAATTTCTTCAGCCTCCTGAGGTTGAAGAGGCACTGTTGCGCCTTCGTCACCACACTGTTTGTGTTGGTGGACCATTTCAGATTGTCAGTGATGTATACGCCAAGAAACTTGAAGGTATTTCACCTTCTCCACTGCAGCCCTGTCGGTGTGGATGGGGGTGTGCACCCTCTGCTGTCTCCTGAAGTCCACGATCAGCTTGCTCATCCATTCTTATGAATTCCTGCCCAACATATACCCTAGGCATCCACACACTCATTCTCTCCCACCCTCCTGCACATATTCATATTCACTATCCCTCACTCTTCCCTCACACTTTCATTCTCACACGCACACACACACACACACACACACACACACACACACACACACACACACACACACACACACACACACACACACACATACACACACACACACGAAGGACACACAATAATGGTTGTTTCATTTAAATGTACAGTTGAAGTCGGAAGTTTACATACACCTTAACCAAATACATTTAAACTCAGTTTTTCACAATTCCTGAAATGTAATCCTAGTAAAAATTCCCTGTCTTAGGTCAGTTATGATCACCACTTTATTTGAAGAATGTGAAATGTCAGAATAATAGTAGAGAGAATGATTTCTTTCATCACATTCCCATTGGGTCAGAGGTTTACATACACTCAATTAGTATGTGGTAGCATTGCCTTTAAATTGTTTAACTTAGGTCAAACGTTTCGGGTAGCCTTCCACAAGATTCACACAATAAATTGGGTGAATTTTGGCCCATTCCTCCTGACAGAGCTGGTGTAACTGAGTCAGGTTTGTAGGCCTCCTTGCTCGCACACACTTTTTCAGTTCTGCCCACTGTTGGGTTCTATTTTCTAATAATTGGATTGATGGGATGACTAACTTAGAAAGAATGCATTCTTGACTGGGCTAATGTAGGTTGTGACACCTGGCAAGCTGTGATTGATGTGAAGAGCTGTTTTAGGGGGTAAAGGAAGATAGGGATTTGTGTCTCCAGATACTGGAATATACTGGTTCTTTGTGATCTGTGAACCTTCCTTGGACATAGGAATGGTGTCTAAGGGAGCTGGCTCTTCTCACTATGACAGGTTGTTATGATAAACTTGTGCCTGGCAAAAGTGTGCAACAAATGGAGCGCCGAGGAGATGGGACCAACCCCTGCGCCAACGGATTGGCTGAGTAAAGTTTAAACCACACTCAGTCCTTTACTCTGATTGGCCAACAGAGAGGTGGGAAATTCTCTCTGTCAGAGTATTTGAGCAACAATCTAAAACAATGTTTTTAGTTCTCTGAAGTGCCCTGCGAGGTATTTCAAAGAGCCCGTATATACGAAACATCATATTTACCATTGAAGGTTTTTGCATTAATTAAAATAACTAGTATATCTTAGAAGTCGTGTTGACCTCTTTTGTTCCTAATACCAGATTTGAATTGACGCGACTTTGACAATTGGTGACACTCCGACGTGATCTGGTAGAAGGGACTTCGCTGGGTAATGTCCGGCACATTTGGCCACCTCTTTCATCGAACCGTGTGTTTCACAAACTGCCCGGGCTTCTAAAAAGGTAAGCAGATACCTATTGTTAAATAACTAAACTTCTGCACATTGGCTTTATTCAAATTAATTTTGTGAAACAACTGTCTGATGTAAGTGAACTAAATTATGAAACTATTATGAGTAGATAAGCACAATATTGTGACATGCAAACCTTTAGTAAATGTGATGTTAAAACCATGGTACCAGAGAGTATTTTGTGCTACCGGCAAGGTCCGTGGGAGACGGCTAGGTTCAGGAGACAATACTGACATCTACCGGCAAGGTCCGTAATTGCAACAATGCGGCTAAGTTTCGGAGATATAGGGAATAATTGATTTAAGTAAATGCTATCGGCAAGGTTCGTAACTACGACAGTACGGCTAGGTTCGAAGAATTACACCGGCAAGGTCCATAACTTTAAGGATATGGCTGGGTTCGGTAAATTTTAGATAATACTGGTGACTGGCAAGGTCCGTAACTAAGGGTTGCGGCTAGGTTCAGCACAGTGTTTTGAATAAAATAGACGCGGCTGTGTGCCCAAATAGATTGTGTGTGGAATATAAGTGTGTCATTTATGACTGTGTGACATATTTGACTGTGTGATAGGATTATGACTGTGTATTGTGAGTGAGTACGATAACTGTGTACTATTTTTGCTGTGTGATAACTGTATACTACATTTAACTGTGTACCATTTTTGGCTGTGAATACAAAGAATATTTTAAAACAGTAAATAATGAGAAGTACAATTAGGAAATAAGGTTTAAATTGTACAAACGTTAACAAAAGACACCCATAGGAGGTACTATAAAAAGTTAGACAGTGCGAGTGTTGTCGTATGCATGAAAGTGTGAATGATAAACCTGTATACCTTGATAGAAAACGAATTGGGAAACAAAAGACGTTTGTGGCTGTCCAAACGGTATAATTTGGGAATAAATGTTGGATTTGTGGTTACTCAAACCAAATTTGAAGTTAATTGATGCAATCCAGCTTCCCAAACGAGTGGCAATAATGAAGTGCAAAGGTCACAGCAGAGAAAGCACCAGAGTGCGTGAAGGAAATGATCGGGCTGATCAAGCAGCAAAAGATGCAGGAGGATACAATGCCCAGCAGATGGTGCAACGAGCCACTCAAGGACAGGAGGAGTTGACGACAGACACAGTAAGACAGTTGCAAGAAGCAGCAGGCGCTTACGAACAGAACGTATGGAGCAGACAGGGAGCAAGGCAAGACCATCATGGGATTTGGAGATCTCACACAAGAAAAACAGTGGGACCTGCAAAACTCCTCAGATCAATCTTAAGGGAAGAGCATGAGAAGGCTCATGGAGGATGGAAAAATGTCGCAAAATCAGTTGAGAAAGCATGGTGGCATCCACACATGTTGGACATGGCAAGAGAGACATCAGAGAGCTGTGAAGTGTGCAAACAATACAACAACAAAGTGTCACTTGGAGCAGTGATAGGCAGCTTCCCAATACCTGATGCACCATTTCAAGACATTTGCATAGATTACACGGACATGGGACAGGACAACAAAGTGGAAGGAAAAAGGTACCTGTTAGTAATGGTGGACAGATTCACCAGATGGGTGGAAGCCATCCCCACAGCAAGAGAAGACGCAAAGGCCGTGATTAAGTGGCTGAGGCGAGACCTCATTCCAAGGTTCGGGGTCCCGCGAATGGTCCGTTCTGACAATGGTACCCATTTCAAGAATAAACACCTAAGGGAGGTAGAGCAGGCCCTAGGAATCACCCACAAGTTTGGGTCAGTATACCACCCCCAATCGCAGGGACTCGTAGAAAGAGCTAACCAATCGCTGAAACGAAAAATGGCCAAAATCATGGCCGGAACTAAACTGAAATGGGTAGATGCCCTACCCCTTGCTCTAATGTCAATGAGAAATTCACCTGGGTCTGATACCCACTTGACTCCACATGAGCTTATGACAGGACGCAGAATGCCAGGGCCACCAGCAGACAATCTTAGTATGCCTAGGCTAGATATTGCAAAAATCAGATATACAGACTACATGCAGGCACTAATTTCTCTTGTTGAAAGATTGTCTAAACAGGTGGTGGAAGTGCGCACTCCTGCTGTTGAAACCACGGACGAGAACAGAGACATCCTGGTAGGAGATTGGGTGAGAGTGAAGGTGCATTCCAGGAAGTGGACGGAGCCAAGGTGGGAAGGGCCTTTTCAGGTGAAAGAGGTATCAAGTCACTCGCTGAGGGTAAACACGAGTAAGAGGGACGTGTGGTACCACAGAACACATTGTGCCAAAGATATAGTTCCAGGAAGAACTCTAGATCAAGTACAACAGGACTTGGCTGCAGACGGGGAGGATGTTATGGTTACTAGCGGGGCTGGCCCTATGGGGAACAGTGACATCCAGTCAGTATCATAATATAGTCATTACCTTACAGGAAGGGGAATCTCAAGTGATGTCCCTAGAACCATGTAAGATCTGGTCATGGAGGAATAGGGCTAGTGGAATTGGGGACACTGGTTGCAATTGGAACCAGAAGGAAAACTGTAACAAAATGTATCCCCATGTGTTAAAGAGAGGTACTTATCTGTGTGAGGGAAAGTGGTGTCCATATTGGGATTTTATGATTACAAATGTTGGCACCTTCTGGGAATGGCGTAGAGGCTATCCATATGTAATAGGAGATGCTTCTAAAGCAGCTAGGTTTTCAATGATAAGGGGTGTGCAGGGGTCAAAAGGGGGTGCATGTAAAGGCGATGAAATCCTACTAACCATCCAAGACATTAAACTTACAGACGCAGGTGTGTACACCTTAGCAGCAGTACGATCCGGACCAGACACCATGGGTGTGTTCACCATCGTGGTCACACCCAAACCTGCATCTGGGGAGAGACAGACCCAGTTGAACCACATCACCACTCCAGGACCAGCTCAGCTTCAATCCACTAAGGTACCAAACCCCGTTCGGGTGATTAATGTTAGGGATATAACGGACAGCGACCAATTGGGGACAGAAACTGGTTATGAAGGGAAAGAAAATATGTGGTTGGCATACATGAGGTATACGGCTAGGACACTGGTCAGGCAGAATTGTGTTATCTGTGGGCATGCAAGACCTGGGTTGGCAACCCACCCATTCGCTTTAGGAGAAGGGGAAGGATGGCAGTGCATATTGGAAGAGTTCTACCATTCACTGCCAAACACCACCCTGTGCAAAGCCCTAAGTTTGATTTTCCCTGAGGTTCCCCCACAAAAGGCACCTGAAGGAGTTCAGGCTTATGGAGGTAATTACAGTTGCATTACTGGAACAGGTAAGGGTGTTAACTATGGTAGGCTACCACCAGGGGACTGTGCTGTGAGTGTAACTATGAACAGCACTTGGCCAGTAGAGGGTAAAACCCAGACAAAAGGGGTGGCTGATGTGTGGTGGATCTGTGGACCAAATAGAAAACTAACCCCGATTCTAAAGGGGGACTGGCAGGGCACGTGTGCATTAGCCAGTTTGATTGTACCTCTGACCATTATTGATGTTTCCTCAGACCAACTTTTGGGCATCGCCCAGCTAGCCCCAGACAGAGAGAGAATGAGGCGGGGGAAACGTAGTGCCCCATGGTCAGCAGGAGAGGAGATCCACTCTAACCTGTTGGGGGTGCCTGTGGGAGTACCATTACAGTTCCAGGCACTCAACAGGAATGATGGGTTGTGGCATTTGTTGCCAATCATAGGACCTGCCATTGATGCTGCTAAACAGCGATCTTGGATAAATTACATCTATTATAACCAACAGCGATTTGTTAACTACACACGCACTGCCCTGACTGGAATGTCGGAACAACTAGAGGCCACCTCTAGGGTGGCTAGGCAAAATAGACTAGCACTTGACATGTTGCTTGCTAACCAAGGGGGTGTGTGTAAGATGTTTGGGGAACAATGCTGTATGTTTATTCCTAACAATACTAGCCCGGACGGGAGCATCACAAAGGCCCTAGTTGGCCTGGATAAGTTGTCAGCAGAAGTTAAGAGCATGGCTGGAGTGGGGAGTGGTGGGCTGTTCTCCTGGTTAAGTGACTGGTTCGGTAAGTATTCTTCTATGGTGGTTACTGGATTTCTGACCCTAGTAATTGTGTTTTTATTGTTGATGTGTTGTGCTGCTTGTATCATTCCCTGTCTCAGGAAGTCAGTGGTAGGAGTGGTGCGGGTGTCAGGAGTGATGCCGTTGTTGCCAGCCCAGGAAGTTGCGGGTGACTCTGCCACTGACTCTGAGACCAAGTTGGATGATCCATGGTTTGCCTAGTAAAATATATACACGCATTTAATTTCAGTTCTTGCTCATTTATTACCTTGTGTTTTTACTAACCACTGTGATTGTTTATTCCTCCTGAGGTGAAGGTAAAGGATTCCTGGGTGGCTGGTAGCCAACTCAGTACATGTTAGGTGTAGGGGAGAAATAGAGGGTTAAAATTATTATTTTTCGTTTATTAACATTTTTGATGTGATTTAATATCCATATCCTGTTATACTCAGGGTTGTTTATATTCTTTATTGTTTATATTCCATAAATGGTGTCAACAGAGGGAATCTTCAATTTTCCCTTTCACATTTTTGGAATCACACCCTAGAGGGTGTCAAAAGGGAGTCAAAATGTACTTCTCTGTTTGTGTTTTATGTGTTAATAGTTTTATGTTTTGTTTTCTATTAATCCTGTGTTATATGGTTTGAAGTTCTTTGATGACTAGTAACAATTTGCAAGTTGGGTGTAGATGGACTGAGGGTTTTAATTTTGTAGTATCATTATGGCCTATTAATAAAAGTGTGATTATTTTTGTTTGTATTCTATTTTAATGAGTGACACCATAGAGGGTGTCAAAATATGGATTGTTGGGTTCTATTTTCTAATAATTGGATTGATGGGATGACTAACTTAGAAAGAATGCATTATTGACTGGGCTAATGTAGGTTGTGACACCTGGCAAGCTGTGATTGATGTGAAGAGCTGTTTTAGGGGGTAAAGGGAGATAGGGATTTGTGTCTCCAGATACTGGAATATACTGGTTCTTTGTGATCTGTGAACCTTCCTTGGACATAGGAATGGTGTCTAAGGGAGCTGGCTCTTCTCACTATGACAGGTTGTTATGATAAACTTGTGCCTGGCAAAAGTGTGCAACAAATGGAGCGCCGAGGAGATGGGACCAACCCCTGCGCCAACGGATTGGCTGAGTAAAGTTTAAACCACACTCAGTCCTTTACTCTGATTGGCCAACAGAGAGGTGGGAAATTCTCTCTGTCAGAGTATTTGAGCAACAATCTAAAACAATGTTTTTAGTTCTCTGAAGTGCCCTGCGAGGTATTTCAAAGAGCCCGTATATATGAAACATCATATTTACCATTGAAGGTTTTTGCATTAATTAAAATAACTAGTATATCTTAGAAGTCGTGTTGACCTCTTTTGTTCCTAATACCAGATTTGAATTGACGCGACTTTGACACCACAAATGTTCTATAGGATTGAGGTCAGGGCTTTGTGATGGCCACTCCAATACCTTGACTTTGTTGTCCTTAAGCCATTTTGCCACAACTTTGGAAGTATGCTTGGGGTCATTGTCCATTTGGAAGACCCATTTGTGACCAAGCTTTAACTTCCTGACTGATGTCTTGAGATGTTGCTTCAATATATCCACATCATTTTCCTTCCTCATGATGCCATCTATTTTGTGAAGTGCACCAGTCCCTCCTGCAGCAAAGCACCCCCAAAGCATGATGCTGCCACCCCCGTGCTTCACGGTTGGGATGGTGTTCTTCAGCTTTTAAGCGACCCCTTATTTCCTCCAAACATAACGATGGTCATTATGGCCAAACAGTTCTATTTTTGTTTCATCAGACCAGAGGACATTTTTCCAAAAAGTACGATCTTTGTCCCAATGTGCAGATGCAAACCGTAGTCTGGCTTTTTTATGGCGGTTTTGGAGCAGTGGCTTCTTGCTTGCTGGGCGGCCTTTCAGGTTATGTCGATATAGGACTCGTTTTCCTGTGGATATAGATACTTTTGTACCTGTTTCCTCCAGCATCTTCACAAGGTCCTTTGCTGTTGTTCTGGGATTGATTTGCACTTTTCGCACCAAAATACGTTCATCTCCAGGAGACAGAAAGCGTCTCCTTCCTGAGCGGTATGCCGGCTGCGTGGTCCCATGCTGTTTATACTTGCATACTATTGTTTGTACAGATGAACATGGTACCTTCAGGCGTTTGGAAATTGCTCCCAAGGATGAACCAGACTTGTGGAGGTCTATAATTTTTTTCTGAGGTCTTGGCTGATTTCTTTTGATATTCCCATGATGTCAAGCAAAGAGGCATTGAGTTTGAAGGTATCCCTCGAAATACATCCACAGGTACACCTCCAATTGACTCAAATGATGTCAATTAGCCTACCAGAAGCTTCTAAAGCCATGACATCATTTTCTGGAATTTTCTAAGCTGTTTAAAGGCACAGTCAACTTAATGTATGTAAACTTCTGACCCACTGGAATTTTGACACAGTGAATTAGAAGTAAAATAATCTCTCTGTAAACAATTGTTGGAAAAATTACTTGTGTCATGCACAAAATAGATGTCCTAACCGACTTGCCACAACTATAGTTTGTTAACAAGAAATTTGTGGAGTGGTTGAAAAACGAGTTTTAATGACTCCAACCTAAGTGTATGTAAACTTCCGACTTCAACTGTATTTGACTCTTTGTAAGGTAGACCACCCTCTTGGTGTTCACTCATCCACTGAATAGAAGGAACATTAGCTTCTTTCTGATTTTAATGGCTCTGTTTCATAACAAATCAAAGTACCAGGGGGCATCGCTTTCAACGAACCCTCGCATGCAGGGCCAGATTAAGAAATCATAGGCCCCGGGGATTAGTCTTCTCTTTTCAGCAAAATACATTTGCTTTCCAAACTGTATGTTTTACCCGTAATTGTGTTATGAAATTAACAAAAGGCAAACAGACCAACCATAGAAATATAATCCATAGATGGCAGTTCCCATTCAAGTCAGGACTGGCAGCCATTGCTAGTGTACCCATGAGTTTAATAGTCAAATTGCCAGGGTAAGAGGTTCCAAAACCCTTCCATGAATTATATGTGTATGACCACAATGTAACAAGCTGTATATTTGGCGCGCATGCTTGCCCGAATGTAGACCAGTAACCAGTGCTGTAACGTACTTCGTAAAACTAATTTAAAGTACTACTTAAGTCGTTTTTGGGGGTATCTGCACTTTACTTTACTATTTATATTTTTGACAGCTTTTACTTCACTACATTCCTAAAGAAAATAATATAATTTTTACTCTATACATTTTCCCTGACCCTAAAAAGTACTCATTGCATTTTAAATGCTTAGCAAGACAGGAAAATTGACCAATTGACAC